GCTATTTTTCGTTCCATTTTTGAGCTCATATTTTATTTTCCTGATTTCTTCTCCAGTGTATGTTGTATTGCATTTTAATACATTGTGTTAATTTTTGCCCGTAAAAGAGGCTTGCACTTCATAATAATAATAATAATAATAATAATAATCAAAATTTTGAAGGACGCTTCACGCAGCTTCATTATACTTGAATTGTTTGCAGGCAACCTGCCTACACTCAAGAGAGCACTGCATTTCACACAAATCCATTGGTATCGTTACAACGTTTCGGTCTTTATGACCATCATCAGGAATGAAGTGGACATGGAAAGAACAGCAGTATAAAAGAAGGAGGCAAGCAAGCAAAGCGCGGTACATAGTGACAGCGCGCGTAGAGAAGTGCAAAGCACGTCATGGCGGGTGTGCATTACTACATATACATGACAACACAAGCACAAACGGCGAGGAAAGTAGATACTGCGCTACAGCAGTGATAACAGCCCAGTTCCAGTCTCACACCACCAGTGAGGTGTCTAGAGCCCCGCGCCACTCGCAGTAAGGTGGTGTTATAGCAGATCCCAGCCACTGTTATTGTTAATTTCCGGGGATCGCTCCCTGATATTGATCGCCTCCCGGATCCTCCTCCTGGGGCGGTCACGCTCAGAACCGAGAACCCGGATACCTGAGAAAGCCGTTGCTCCCAATGGCAATGGGTCAGATGCATGCTTGGCCGCGAAATGCTCACCCAGCGCGGTGCCGCTCACTGTGTTGCGTGCGTCGTCGTTGTGTTCTTTTGTCCTGGTAGCGAGGCTGCGGTACGTCTCTCCGACATATTTATCACCACATTTGCACTCCAGGTGGTATACAACATTTCGCTCCGTGCATGCCCCCGAACCGGACATGCAGGCGACACAAGCAGCTTTGGGCCGCCCCCGTTTACGGGGCCTGGACGGGTCTACATACCTGCGGCATGGTGGTTTGCGGAGGGCAGACGTGCAAATCATAGAACTTAGACGGCGGTTCCTGTAAATCAGCTGGGCATTTATCTTGTACTTCCGGAGTAATTTATGAATTTTGTTGTGGATATACTCGGTGTGAAACGGTAGGTTGAGGGTGACACGGTATTCATTCTGCACTCTGACACGTCGGGGGCGCATAGCTCGTTCACGTGCCGAAACTATAACTGACTCTGGGAAGTTGTTGAATTTTAGGATGTTGGTTACTTTTTCTTCACTTCTTTTTAGGTGCACCTGCCAGCCCAGTTCTGTACAAGCGCTACATCGATGATGTTTTCATTGTGTGGAACCTCGGTCCGGAACTTCTGCAGAGTTTCCTAGATCACTTCAATAATGCCGATCCTAATATTAAATTCACTCACCAATCCACGGAGTTGACTGGCTCAATCAATTTCATGGACACGACCGTCCATGTCTCACCAGATGGATCTATATCCTATGAACTATATCGCAAGCCATGTCACAGCGGACTGGTATCAGACTACAACTCGTCAGTTCCCAACCAGCAAAAGAAAGCAATTGCTTCCTCTGAGTTCCTGCGTGCCGTCCGCCTATCCTCCGATGCCGACACCCTAAAAAGAAGTGAAGAAAAAGTAACCAACATCCTAAAATTCAACAACTTCCCAGAGTCAGTTATAGTTTCGGCACGTGAACGAGCTATGCGCCCCCGACGTGTCAGAGTGCAGAATGAATACCGTGTCACCCTCAACCTACCGTTTCACACCGAGTATATCCACAACAAAATTCATAAATTACTCCGGAAGTACAAGATAAATGCCCAGCTGATTTACAGGAACCGCCGTCTAAGTTCTATGATTTGCACGTCTGCCCTCCGCAAACCACCATGCCGCAGGTATGTAGACCCGTCCAGGCCCCGTAAACGGGGGCGGCCCAAAGCTGCTTGTGTCGCCTGCATGTCCGGTTCGGGGGCATGCACGGAGCGAAATGTTGTATACCACCTGGAGTGCAAATGTGGTGATAAATATGTCGGAGAGACGTACCGCAGCCTCGCTACCAGGACAAAAGAACACAACGACGACGCACGCAACACAGTGAGCGGCACCGCGCTGGGTGAGCATTTCGCGGCCAAGCATGCATCTGACCCATTGCCATTGGGAGCAACGGCTTTCTCAGGTATCCGGGTTCTCGGTTCTGAGCGTGACCGCCCCAGGAGGAGGATCCGGGAGGCGATCAATATCAGGGAGCGATCCCCGGAAATTAACAATAACAGTGGCTGGGATCTGCTATAACACCACCTTACTGCGAGTGGCGCGGGGCTCTAGACACCTCACTGGTGGTGTGAGACTGGAACTGGGCTGTTATCACTGCTGTAGCGCAGTATCTACTTTCCTCGCCGTTTGTGCTTGTGTTGTCATGTATATGTAGTAATGCACACCCGCCATGACGTGCTTTGCACTTCTCTACGCGCGCTGTCACTATGTACCGCGCTTTGCTTGCTTGCCTCCTTCTTTTATACTGCTGTTCTTTCCATGTCCACTTCATTCCTGATGATGGTCATAAAGACCGAAACGTTGTAACGATACCAATGGATTTGTGTGAAATGCAGTGCTCTCTTGAGTGTAGGCAGGTTGCCTGCAAACAATTCAATAATAATAATAATAATAATAATAATAATAATAATAATAATAATAATAATAATAATAATAATAATAATAATTTGAAACTCGGATGTTGAGCCATAAATAAATGTGGAAGAGAAAAGACATATGGATACGAGTTAAGAGTAACTCTCCATCACTGTAACATGATACTATATACAGTCAGAAAGTGCAATAACTAGGCACAAAACTGACAGAGTACTGAAACATTCGACGTCCTGACACCTAGCTTCAACACATCTCCGTAGCGCTAACCGACAGCCTTCCAACTTGGAAGGTTCAAGGTTATGGAAAAGACCAAAGAGGGGAAGGCAAGCGCAACGAAAACGAGCAAAAGCTACAGTCCCAACGGAACAAAGAATGTCGATTGTTACTGGACGATGACGAGACCAGTACGATATTTGACAAAGCGGTCTAACTACAATTCGAAGCAGCAAAGCAGCACACCACCCAACTTGGGTGGGTCATAAATATCAAAGATAAGTAAAGAAGGGGAAGCTTTGCGAAAACGAATTGTACAAGCCGAAAGCCAAACTCCTACAGTACTCCTCATGCATGACATTGTGATGGACTAGTTGACTACAAAACAAGTTGTTTCACACGACGTACGTTTCGCCGTATGGTTCGTGACGGCTCATCAGGTGTGCAATTTGAAACTCGGATGTTGAGCCATAAATAAATGTGGAAGAGAAAAGACATATGGATACGAGTTAAGAGTAACTCTCCATCACTGTAACATGATACTATATACAGTCAGAAAGTGCAATAACTAGGCACAAAACTGACAGAGTACTGAAACATTCGACGTCCTGACACCTAGCTTCAACACATCTCCGTAGCGCTAACCGACAGCCTTCCAACTTGGAAGGTTCAAGGTTATGGAAAAGACCAAAGAGGGGAAGGCAAGCGCAACGAAAACGAGCAAAAGCTACAGTCCCAACGGAACAAAGAATGTCGATTGTTACTGGACGATGACGAGACCAGTACGATATTTGACAAAGCGGTCTAACTACAATTCGAACGTCGTGTGAAACAACTTGTTTTGTAGTCAACTAGTCCATCACAATGTCATGCATGAGGAGTACTGTAGGAGTTTGGCTTTCGGCTTGTACAATTCGTTTTCGCAAAGCTTCCCCTTCTTTACTTATCTTTGATATTTATGACCCACCCAAGTTGGGTGGTGTGCTGCTTTGCTGCTTCGAATTGTAGTTAGACCGCTTTGTCAAATATCGTACTGGTCTCGTCATCGTCCAGTAACAATCGACATTCTTTGTTCCGTTGGGACTGTAGCTTTTGCTCGTTTTCGTTGCGCTTGCCTTCCCCTCTTTGGTCTTTTCCATAACCTTGAACCTTCCAAGTTGGAAGGCTGTCGGTTAGCGCTACGGAGATGTGTTGAAGCTAGGTGTCAGGACGTCGAATGTTTCAGTACTCTGTCAGTTTTGTGCCTAGTTATTGCACTTTCTGACTGTATATAGTATCATGTTACAGTGATGGAGAGTTACTCTTAACTCGTATCCATATGTCTTTTCTCTTCCACAATAATAATAATAATAATAATTCTCGTCTACGTTCCAAAGGGAACTCACGACAATGGAGTGACAAAAAGCACCGCGGCAGAGAGAGAAAAGAGAAGATAATTATGATATTTGACGAAAACAATCACGGTGTAGACTTCACATGAGTAACAGTACTATAACAGAGTAACAATATAACAGCATAACAGTACCTGTATGACAGTATGACAGTAGAGTAAAACCAGTCAAAGCAACTACTGTAAATATACAAATTTTCGGCAGCTATTTATTTCGGCTATATTCGGCACCGACCCAAAACGCCGATGAAAATTTTCACAGCATCTGTCGCACTATACCATGCCCTCTACCCCACGCCGAAAATAAATCGCCGCCGAAATGTCAAAAATCGTGAAGTGCCGGAATTTTGCAGCGCCGAAATTTTGTATATTTACAGTACTCGGATAAGGCGACCACCTGTCCCAGACAACCACTGCAGGCAGGACCACCAAGGGATGCTATTTCCAGCCAAATGACCCTGGACCTGGATAAGGAGTCCACCTGGTAAGACAGACCGCATTTTGAAGGTCTCTTGAGCGGTCGTCTTAGACAGGTTTCACTGTGCAACATTAATATACAACATGGCAGAGGATTGAACTCGGATGGCGAGCCAATTAAATTATGGTGAAAAAAGGAGAAGGAAAAAATGTAACGAATGAATGTCTCGGTACTCCTTGTCAGTTTTGTGCCATTTTGTTGCACTCGCTGCCACTGTATAAGATCTGGTTACATGGGTGGACAGTTAGTCATAACTCGTAACATTTTGTCCTTCTCCTTTTTCATCATGGACATGATTGCATTTTTTTGTCCCATACCTGCTTCACCAAACTCGCCATGGCTGGCCGCTTCGGCGATCACGACATGGAGTGCGCGGACAGTGCCACGAGAGTTCCGTGCAGAGCACGATACCCATGTAAGATTGGATTTAGGTGAGAAGAAGACTTGGCTATGGGTGACTCCATCAGCCGATACCTGCAACACGAGATAAGGAAGGATGGTAATCGCGGACTTATGATGCTGCATGATGAACAGCATCTGTGATGCAATAAACTGGTCATTACAAAACCGAGCGGAAATCCTAGTGCGGTGTGTGTGTGTGTGTGTGTGTGTGTGTGTGTGTGTGTACCAGCTTTAGTTCGGTTGGTGGGTACACGTATGTCACATAGTGCTTGGCTCTGTTGCCATCATGCCCGGCTGCTTGAAGGTGCACGTTTTACCTTCAGTTCCAGGGCGGATACCTTGATACTGGTTATCCTAGCTCTGAGCTTTCTATTTGAAGCATACATACCGTAGTGTAGCATAGAAAAGCATGACCCGTATAGAAGCATGACTTGAATAGAAGCCGATTTTTTGAAGAGCGCCGTGAGACAGAAGCATGATTTGAATAGAAGCATACGTGCAAGTACATAATATTATATGTGCACACTACATGCATGACAATGTGCACTGTACAGTGTAGACTGAAGATGTTGACGTAGAAGCTTGTTTTGAATAGAAGCATGGTTTGAGCACCGGCTTATACGGCTGTAAGCACCTGCTTTTATACGCGACATTACGGCACCTGTTAACCCTGGACTTCTTCTGGCTAGCTTAACTCTTGTACAATCAATGGTGCTAGTGAATCTTCAATTGCCAAAATGAAGTTGTACATGCAATGTTGGACAGTCAACATCTTGCAGTAAAATAACAACTCGGCGCCAATAGCGACACCATATTCACACCTATAATGACTATTTGATTGCATACCGTTTCAACAACTCGCAAATAGCGGCAAATCGCGCACAACGGCACCTTTCTCGTGCACGATCGGGCGGTCGCTGTCATCATTCGCAAGGTTGACCGTACGTGTAATGCTTACCCAAGTATTCTTGGCAACATTGGGACCGTCAAGGGGCGTGCTAGCATCGCTGTTCTCCCACTCAATGCCCTCTAGTACACGGCCGCTGAACGAACAGCGCAGCAGAGCTCCTTCACCATACAGAAGACGGTGGAACCTGTGTTGCTGCTGCGGGCTCTTCAGGCTGGGCAGAACTACAGGTATAGGCACACACCAAGGTCACACAGAACAATGTCTCAGGAAACAAATAGCCAAACGTTGGTTTACTAGTGCCGGCGTCCCTCTTTAATTCAGCAATTTATACACCAGCAACCGCTTTAAACCAGCATAATTTTCAACAACCGAAATGTCCTATTCACGCACATTGCAGCACCCTCCCTAATCCAGCAGAATTTCCGGAGCACAAATGGTGCTGGAATATGAAATGACCACTGTAGTTTAAACCCCTACTCTCTCACCACCTTCGCCATTCATCACACCAGCAACAGAACTCCAAGTAGGAACAATATCTCCAACAACTAAGCCAATCACTGATGAACAGGCCGGGAATTGCGGCTAACGTCCCTGACTAAATGGCCAAACGAACAAACAAACAGAACGTAATTGTGTACACTATTATATTATATTATATAAAGTTGTGTTATGTTTTCTTAAATTTTACTTCAACATTACTTTATACGCTCTCTCTATCCTGCATTCAAGATTGGCATACAAAGAGTAATTGGAAAAAGGAAAGCCGAGAGCTCATATCATACCAATTTCTACCTCCAAGCACTCACCATCACAGTTCCTGTCAGCTGTTTGTGGGTCGCCTCCCGGACAGACACACGTTGCAGAGTACGCACCTGCGATAGTGCATTTGGCCGGCGGATTGCAGACGAGCTTGCCTGATGTACACGCATCCTCTGAAACCGAGTCACGGCACGAACACAACAGAGCGGGAGCGCGCGCGCGAGAGAGAGAGAGGGAGAGAGAGAGAGAGAAACAGAGAGAGAGAGAGAAACAGAGAGAGAGAGAAAGAGAGATGGAGAGAGAGGGAGAGAGAGAGAGAGAGAGAGACAGAGAGAGAGAGAGAGAGAGAGAGAGAGAGCGAGAGAGAGAGGGCGAGACACACAGAGAGAGAGAGAGAGAGAGAGAGAGAAAGAGAGAGAGCGAGCGAGAGAGACAGAGCGAGAGCGAGAGAGACAGAGCGAGAGCGAGAGAGAGAGAGAGAGAGAGAGAGAGAGAGAGAAAGAGAGAGATGAATATTGCTTGCCAGTGCCAGTGCTCTTGCAAACAGGGACAATCACAACATCATGGCAGGTGTCGGATTGCTATCAGCTCCCAGGAAGTACAGCTGCGCAATGCTCCTGCAGTGTAACCTTCGACATTAAACAAATGATCCGAGCACAGAACATTCTAATAGGTACCTTCTTTGGCTAAGGTCTAAAAACATTGATTGGGCCACACCTTGTAATCTGAACTTGTTGACTCTTGTCTATGATGTTGGAAACACAGGGATAGCAGTGGTTGCAGTGTAAAATTATCTACCTCACGTGCCAGCAGGTATTTCTCTCAAAAAACTTTTTTTCAAATAGTTTAAAAGCAGAACAACCCGAGATACTAGTACTACAGACATTGTCATGTTACAATGGCCAGAGTAGCGGTGCATGTACATTCACCATCTTCAAAACTATAGACGCGTACCTAGGCAAAAACCGTTATGCCAGCATCTATACCACATAAAATCTGTGATCACTTTGTGCATAAATTTTTCCAAATTGGGCGTCTGTTATCCAATCCTTTAGAAACTATATGAGAGTAATTGTGGAGCGATCCTGAGCAATATTCCGAAAACTATTCTCAAAAAGTTCCAGCCAAATTTGAAATATTTCAAAAACCCTACGCGTCTATAGTTTTGAAATGCACTGTACATTCACCATCTTCACAGACTTACGGAACAGGCAGAAAACAGGCTGACGATCCGCGAGGCTTGCGGCCCACGTGGAGATGCCGTTGCTCACGTGAACTCTGCCTTCCTGCGTGAAGGACGTCAGGGGCGTGTGCTCAGCATACTGCAGCCCCAACCTCCGCACAAACGTCTGCGCACACGGTTGCAGCTGCTTGGGCATTATAGTCCACTCGCCGATGCTTTTATCAATCGCGTCACAAGCGGCAATGCCGTGTTTACCTGCCACTGGAGCAGATGGTAGAACCAGTTGGAGTCGTTTTCCTTGACACCAGACTGGAAAGCATAAAGTCACAAAACAATGGCCGATCAACAAGCAACACTGTACCAGCAAACCATTAAACATTGCCCTCAAATCTCTTCTCTAGAGGGGCTTCACATCTTCGTCACGTGACAACATTAATCCGTGTGGATAGTGACAATAATGGCATGTGGACATTGGAACCAACATGGCCGTCATCATGTGACCTTTCAGGATTTCCGGAAGAAATTTTGATAGGTCCGGTCACATCATAGTCTTTCTTTTGAAATCCTTTATTCTCACGATGGCCTGTTGCCAATAAGGGAAGAAGAAATACAGCCACGGGGATCGGATAAAGAGAAATCAATTCTTTAATTAATAATGCAATGAATAAAACTATAATGTGCACTCATATCACAACCTTCGAGACGATTCAAGTATTCCAGAACGAAGTCACGAATTCCATTGATAATTGTGACAAGAAAACGTTCTGGAATACTTGAATCGTCCCAATGGTTGTGATATGAGTGCACATAATTATAGTTTTATTCACTGCATTATTAAGATTATTGTCTCCACGTTGGCTTTTTTACATAATTATTAAATTCATTATTGCCGTAAACAGGCGTTGGTGGTCAAAAAGTTGATCTTGCAGGGACCTGACCAAGCGGACCGGTTCCGGCGGGCCTGTCTATAGATGAAGAGGCTTAGTGGGTTTGGAACCAACATGGCTACTCTGCACGGTCATGTTACAAATACGTATAATATACGTTCAAAGGCTCTATAGGATTAGTTGAGGAGAGGCAGTGCCCGCTACTCGCCATAGTCCACAACACGGAACAAGCATCCGATTATACCGTATTTTCGGCAATACTGGTCAATTTGAACTTCACTTCTCAACTCGAAAAAACGGTCTCTTTACCGCGATTCAAACCAAATTTAAAATTAACATTACACCAAATTGCTTGGCCCATCATCAGAGTAATGTACTATTAAATGAATTGTCTCCTTATCCAGGCCCGAAAATTTGGGGTAAGGCCACACTGAAAAAAGTCTGTGGTTCGACTCACCCGACCGACCGTACATTTTTCAGCCCGACCGTAACTTTTTTTCGGCGGGCTGTCGTGTGACTGACGTACGTGGACTGAACACGTCCACGTCTACGTGCTGTGCAGCGTGAGTCTGCGGACGCAGGCGGCTCCTTTTGGACTTGACTTGTAGTTGTACTGCAGTGCAGTGCAGTGAGTGGTACGACTGCTGCCTTGTGCTGGTAGTAGAGTCTACTCGATACGACCACCGGCAGACTGGCGAGACTTATTTTGAAGTGACCGTCTGGTTGAGAGTGATTGCCTCGTTCCAGATTAAGGACGGCCTTCAGTTTTGGGATGAAGGACAGACGAGATTGCACTTTCCTCGTGTATTGGGAACGATATTTCACCTGTACCGGTAAGTTGCTGCTCCATGTGTGCAAGCACAGGAAGCGTCGATGAAAAAAGCCCATGTATTCGTGCACGCCGACACCAAACTAGCAATACATGTACCGGTACATTGTACAATTTGTACTTCGAAGTAGTTCCCGAACTTACTTTCAACTGGGTGTCTAAAGGCAGTACAGTGTATTTACATGTACTAAAAATATATTTAAAAAAAATCCGCCCGCCCGCCCGTAAAAAATGTCCATGTTAGTCGAACCACACACCTTTTTTAGTTTGGCCTGATGTTAATTTTAATTTTGGTTTGAATCGCGGTAAAGAGACCGTTTTTTGGAGTTGAGAAGTGAAGTTTTACTGTGTAAGTGGCTGCGTTGGATAATAAAACGCACCTTTTCAGAAATTCAATGCACACAAAGTGATCACAGATTTTTGTGGTATAGATGCTGGCCTAACAATTTTTTGAAACCAGAGGTCTATACTTTTCAAGTACAATGTAGGCGCAGATCCGTAGCTCACCACTCTAGCCTGTGCAGTCGGACAGGGTGCTCACCAGGGAGTAGTAAAATACCAGTATTTTACTACTCTCTGGTACTCACTACGCCAGTCCCCGCAGTAGCCCCGTATCATGGGATTTGTCACATTTGGTGACGAACATGCCGGTAGACTGGATTTAATGGCATTTTACAATGCTGCAGAGGCTTCAATGGCCTATTTTTGACTGGGATTGATTTCACTCATCACCCTTGCCAGGACCGTGAAGGAGAACCTGGCAAAGGAGGACATCTATTATGCGAATGTGTTTGTTTGGTGTCTATTGCATTGAAACCTTTCACGCGCAGCTTTTCCTGAGGAACCTTGCATAGGACTGGGAAAGGTAATTGAACTTCTGCAATGGTCTGCATAGTACTGTATTAAAGTCAACAAATATTCGGCGCATGTCTATTTTCGGGTAAATTCGGCTATTTTCGGCCTGGGCATTTTGGCCTAAAATTTATTGCGGCCGCAATCTTGTTTTGCAAGGCTCAATGTGACAGTGTATACAGGCAGCAGCAGCAGTAACGGCTGAAATTTTAATGCGGCCCCAATGTGTTTTGGCCCTGGAGGCCGAAATTTGGACGCGAAAATTTTGTGGAATTACAGCACGTTGTTGTCACAACACAGAATCAGAACAGCAACCGAACAATTCAAGCAGAAGCTAGAACAGCAGCCGCAGCAGCAGCCACAGTAGCCACAGTAGCAGCCACAGTAGCAGCTACAGTAGCAGCCACAGTAGCCACAGTAGCAGCCACAGTAGCAGTCACAGTAGCAGCCACAGTAGCAGCCACAGCAGCAGCCACAGTAGCAGCCACAGTAGCAGCCACAGTAGCAGCCACAGTAGCAGCCACAGTAGCAGCTACAGTAGCAGCCACAGTAGCCACAGTAGCAGCCACAGTAGCAGTCACAGTAGCAGTCACAGTAGCAGCCACAGTAGCAGCTACAGTAGCAGCCACAGTAGCCACAGTAGCAGCCACAGTAGCAGTCACAGTAGCAGCCACAGTAGCAGCCACAGCAGCAGCCACAGTAGCAGCCACAGTAGCAGCCACAGTAGCAGCCACAGTAGCAGCCACAGTAGCAGCTACAGTAGCAGCCACGGTAGCCACAGTAGCAGCCACAGTAGCAGTCACAGTAGCAGCCACAGTAGCAGCCACAGTAGCAGCCACAGTAGCAGCTACAGTAGCAGCCACAGTAGCAGCAGCAGGCACAGTAGCAGCCACAGTAGCAGCAGCCACAGTAGCAGCAGGCACAGTAGCAGCCACAGTAGCAGCAGCCACAGTAGCAGCAGCCACAGTAGCAGCCACAGTAGCAGCAGCCACAGTAGCAGCAGCCACAGTAGCAGCAGCCACAGTAGCAGCCACAGTAGCAGCCACAGTAGCAGGCACAGTAGCAGCTTATAGGCAGACCTACTTTGGTTGCATATTGTGCCGTGGTAGTCCTTGTCGCAGCTGCATGTATTCTCAGGGCTGGAAATCTCCCCGGCTATGCAGGATCCTGCAGGAAATATCAGTGTAGACAAGAATAGGCAAAGCAGTTAGGGGCTGTCCGGCATTATGGATACTTTTCACGGAACGAAAAAGTTTAGTTTTGACCCTCCCTCCCTCACCCACCCACCCCCTTCAACGAAAAATATATTGACTTGACAGCTAGAATGGATTGATTTTTCAGCTATCCATAATTTTCAAAACGAAACTCTCCTCAGCCCACCCACCCCATAAACGGAACTTCTTCTCTTCGTGAATAAGATTGATAATAATAGCCGAACCATGACAAAAGGGTGCTTATGGCAACATTTTCACAAACTGAGTTACGGATACAGCGCAATGGCTGAATTCTCACTGCTTCTGTTGCAAAAAACCGCATTCAAAAAGCTTGATAAATCGCAACAAAAACTAATCGAATTCAAAAGAAAATGTGCACTATCAATATTGCATATTCAACTTTCAACGACTTTTTCTCAGTTTGATGTCGTGTGCCATAAGCACCCTTTTGTCGTGTCACGGCTCAGGACGGCCCATTAGCATTGAACAATTGTATGGTGGAATAAAAAACTGTTCTGAACATTTCTTCCTTTTACATTTGTATCCCACATCTATCTCTCTCACAATAGCGAGAGTTCCCAGATTGCCTAGAGTGCTCAACACCACAAGGATGGAGCATTACCACAAAGGCAGAAGAGAACAGAGACAGCCGGCTAGGTCACCTTTTGAGGTGTTGCTGTAGGTCTTTGCTCTGTCGACGATGGACCACCTGATGTCGTACTCTTCACCCTGGTCCTGCAGTGCCCACAAGTGCTTCGACAGCTGCGTGCTTTTGCGGTACTTTTCGTATCTCATAGTCGTGAGGTGGTTGCCATAGCGCATCTTGAACGGTGTCTCGCAAAGCCCGAAGTGCTGCTTCTCGTCACCTGAGCTCCGAGCCGTGACGTTCGCTTGGTAGACCACCCTTTCCTGCAAACACCGGTCGTCCAGAGGGAAAGAGGGTTTAGCTCGGCAGTTGCACTTTCTCACATGTATTTTAGTTATCGGCCATTCACACGACGTGCAGACTCGCTTTTATCGTACCGTTTCCAAGGATATTTACTCGCATGTGATTAACTTGGACCCACATGTGCAACTGATTTTTGAACTTGGCCAGGAACTTTGTGCTCACGATTATACTTTGAATGCCAGCAAAAGTGTCTGTTGTTGAAAGTTTGCACAGCAAATGTACTGCGCGTACTAATATTTCAGAAGCGAAAATTCCGAAAATTTAAATTTCCCGGCATTTTCAGGAGATGAATAATGGATACATTGATGCATGCAAAGCATGCGAAGCACCGTGTGAACTGGATTACGGTTTTCAAGTGACTTCTTGGTCACACGCGTGCATGTCATTGTGTTTGCACGTCGCGTGAATGGCCTATTAGGCCATGTCAAATATATTGATTGTTTATGGTAAGATTTTCCCGAGAAATCGGGGCGGACGGGAGGATTTTAATTTAATTTTTTATTATGCATGTATAGCTGTAGGGCAGGTGTTCGCAACCCCAGACATGCCTTTTTCTTCGCTTTTCTTTCTTTTAAGCCATTTTGGCGCAGAGTAAGATAAATCCATGTGATGCAGATGAATCGTCAGCCATCCGGAATATTTTTAAACGTCTTTCAAGACAATTTTGAGGATTCTAATAATGAAAAGTGCAACAACCAACGTTACTTAGGAGAAACGAAGATCCGGCAGCTGATGATCAATTTCACTTTTCAAGCCCATAGCAACTAAGTTTTGGTTCAGTCTGTGGACTTGACCTTCGAAAATCTACGGCCATGCTGATTAGAGGCTGTAGACCACAGTGCATTTACCAGTACTAAAAAATAAAATACTTCGGCCGGGAGGGTAAAATCTGGGGCGGGTGCGGACGATAAACAATCCATTTTTTACTTGGCCTTGTCAATCGTTATGGTTACCGCACAGTTTGTTATAGTTACCGCACAGTTTGTCTTCTTGTTTGCGATATTAAAGTTTGCTATCTTCGAAACGCTTGTTCACATACGAAAAGTCTGAACTAGCCAGTTCAGAAAATGAGAGTATCTTCCTGCCTGCTTGAGACGAAGTCAGACTGAGCTTTCTACATCCATCATCCAGACACAGTACTTACGGCTGACGCACAGCGGCTTATCAGGCAACACCCATCCTTCACGCTCGTTACAGCTGGCACGGCCAACTGCAAAGTACCCATCATCACAATTTGCCTCGATCTGGCGGGATAATGACGTGTCATTCAGGTTTCCATTAGCGATTTGAAGTCGTGGGCAATAGTTGACACCTGAAGACATTGACATGGAAACAAACAGGATTGTGCTGTAGCTGAGCTACACTGTTGACGGTGGTCATTTTTGCCACCACTCTCCAATATAATTTCCTTCTTCGTGTGGGACTCAAGTAGACCACTACTGAAAAAGTTGCCTAGTTGGCTTTTTGAAAAGGAGAAAAAGGGTTTGCACCAAGGTAACTTGAACCTGCGAGGGGCAGAGGTCTTTAAAATATTTCTACTCCAAAGGAAATACAGGGTACCGTATTTTACCGGTTGTAAGTCGACCCCGGTTATAAGTCGACCCCCCTATCTGGAGGTCTCAATTCTGCGTTTTAAAGTTTTCACCCAAAGAAGCACTACTAACCACCTCCTGCTACTAACACATCAACAAATCATGTAAACATTCCTTATTGGAGGATATAACGTCCCAATCCTTGAAAAAGGCCAATAAACTGGCAAAATGTGTAAACATGGTGCACTCGTGCATGCAGTGCAGGTCATTGTTTTGTAAGATACTGATAGTTCCCGGTTATAAGTCGAATCCCGGTTGTAAGTCGACCCCCATCCTTTCTCCTTCTATTTTAAGTCGTAAAAGGTCGACTTACAACCGGAAAAATACGGTAGCTGTCTGTATTTGGTTACGAAAAATCTGGGCCTGGCTTATAGTCCAGTGCGGCACACTCAGGAAAACACGGTAGATCATACCCAGCACCACTGAAGCGATCCAACAACAAAACTCCCATTCCCAATGCAGCAACATGCAATAGAGTAGATATGATGGTTAAACACATACACAAACACACACACACACACACACACACACACACACACACACACACACACACACACACACACACACATACACACCATATTGCCAGGCGTGTGCATGTGTGTGTGGGGGGGGGGGGAGGGGTGCGTGCGTGTGTGCATGTGTGTGTGTGTGTGTGTGTGTGTGTGTGTGTGTGTGTGTGTGTGTGTGTGTGTGTGTGTGTGTGTGTGTGTGTGTGTGTGTGTGTGTGTGTGTGTGTGTGTGTGAACATCTTCCTCAGATGCCCCCGCGAGGAGTTGCGATCCTGCGGGTGGTGCCACCTACAGCACAGAGACGACGACATGGAGAGACGCTGAGTGTTGGGTCGTGGAACGTTCGTAGCTTGGTTGAAAGTGATGGCCCGGTCGAGACGGCGGCAGTCGAAGGCAAAGTTTCTGATGACAAGAAAATTTTTCGAATTGTTGAACATCTAGCTGGCCTGAAAATGGACATCATGGCCTTACAGGAGACTCACTGGTTTGGACGTGAAAAGTACAGCGTGGAGGGCGCTGAAGTTGTTACATCGGGCCGCCCTGTACCAACGGAGGGACAATCATGCAGGAGAGGCGATGGACTTGCATTTGTGCTTCGCGGACGTGCTCTGAAATCGTGGCACGCCGGTGGTTGCCAGATCGTCACACTATCGTCGCGAGTGATGTCGATCCGACTGAAGCTTGCGCTTCAAGACGGAAATCCAGAATGGCTCACCCTCGTTTCGGCCTACGCCCCAACATTCAGCAGCAAGCGCGCAGCCAAAGACGAGTTCTTCAACTCCCTGCACACCGTCCTCAATATCCCACCAGACGATTTATTTTGCTTGGTGATTTCAATGCACGAGTGGGCAGTGGTCAGAATAATGATGAGTGGCACAGAGTTCGTGGCCCAAAAGGAATTGGGATGCTCAATTCCTCTGGTGAGGAATTTCTCAGTTTCCTGGCACTGCATGAAGGCTGGATTTGTAACACCTGGTTCACCAAGAAACCTAGTCAATTGGGTACCTGGCAACACCCCAGATCAAAGCGTGTACATTGCATCGATTACATTGTGATCCCGCAGTGGGCTCGGGACCGATGCCACAACACACAGGTTATCCGATCTGCAGAGTGCGGAAGTGACCATGCTCTTCTTGCTATGCGTTTTCGTCTCGGCCGTGTGAAGTGGTTCACCTCTCCTCGCACAAAACACCCTAGGTTTGATGTTTCGCGGCTTCGTGAGCCAGCACCAACAGACGCCGACCCGGACAGGCGCGTCATTGACGCCTTTCAGGACGCAGTCAGTACTAGCCTCTGTAACGCGGCACAGGACAACAACGTAACGAGCGCCCCGCTCAAATGGAACAACCTCCACAGCGCCCTTACGGATGCTGCAAGCGAAGTGCTGGGCCGCAGCAAACGTCGCCAACCAGATTGGTTTGCTGAGAACCGCACCGAGCTTCAACCGCTACTCGACGACCGCAATGAATGCTATGCAACATGGTTGTCAAATGGGAGACGGGATGAAGATCACCAGCAATACAAGAGTGCCCGAAGCAGGGCCAGGCTTGCGGTACGTAAAGCCAAGGACAAGTGGTTCTCTGAGCAAGCGAGTAACATCGAGCAAGGTCGGTTCAACTCAGCACGAGTATGGAAAGGTATCAAGGCGATGCAGTCTGCACGGCGGGGCCTCGTACCAAGTCCGGCTGTTGCCGTGCAGGACGAAAATGGAAACCTATGCACATCGGCGGAAGAACATGACCAGCGTTTCCGACGCCATTTCACTGGCGTTCTAAACATCCGGAGTGAAATTGATATTGACGCTGTGAATGAACTACAGCAGCAGACTAATGATGATCAGCTTGCCTCGGTGCCGAGTCTCGAGGAGATTAGGAGATCTGTGGGACGCCTGCGTGGCGG